TGGGAGCATCAGGAATGTAAGGTTGCCCCACCCCTGTCTACCGCAGCAGGAGGTATGCATTGGGCCGACTGGGTGATGAACCCGAGATTTTGGGATGATAAAATGCACCTTCAAGATACCCGAACGGTGGGCGAATCTTCCACTTTTTGCACAAATTCAAAGCCGAGTTGACCGCCTGAGATCAAAAAAACCTTTTACTGAAAAACTGCTAGAGTCTATTCAGGATTTTCACTTATCCGTCACCACACAACAAGGAGCCCAAGTGAACCCGTAGGAGGCCTTCTTCTCTGCGGGGCATGTTCGGTACATGTGAGGACACATGATGTGCTCGTTCACTGGTGATGAAGGAAGTTCTGTGGGTGAAACGACATATTTCAAATATGATATTTGAAGGAGTTACTGCCGGTGAATGCATGGCATCAGGAGGTGTTGACATGGTGTTGAATTTAATTCATGTTTGTTCGGTAGTTTGGTGAGAATTCGCCACCAAATTTCCCACATGATAATAACAAGACACACACTGGGAATAACAGAAACAACGATTGAGAGGTAAATACGAAACTGTGTAACTTCCGTCAGTAAGGACTAGTTTTTACTAGCCTCGGAGGTGCAAGCCGCAACAGCTGATTTCGCCGCTAGTCGCTGAGCCTTTTCTCTGAACTCCGGTACATCCTGAGCAGAAGATCTCTGAAAACCAGTTGAGTAATTCTAAACTCAAGTGCCGTTTCGTGAATCACAATCAGTTTGACGAACCTACTGCCAACTGAGCTGAGCAATTCCAACACGCTACCGTCGGCTCGGGAATACTCTACTTAGAGAAGCTCGGGTCGACAACTACTGTATCGTACCTCGCCCTTGTGCCACATCCCCGTGTCCTTCACGAAAACTGGCGGAGTTATGAACAATTCCTTCCACTCAAGTGCGTGAGAGACGACTGGTTTCACGCAGGAATCATAGACGCTCTCGCACGCGCTGAAATCATCGAGACAGAGCTGAATCTAAAAAGCATCACGAGAGATCTTCTGCTTCCCCACGAGGCTGCTGGTAGATGAGGTCCGCTCATCGACGGTCCTGATGTGCTCGAGGAGTGGTATTATACAACTTACTTGCAGTAAGGGACGAACGAAATTGTGGTAGGGCAGCCAGAACGATACAGCGTTGAAAATCGGCTCGCCCACGAGCAGGAACTCGAAGACGCTCCAATACATTAAAAGCTTCTGAGAAGAAAACAACCGATGCCTTTACTACTATATTTAGCAAACACTTTTCCCACCAGGAGTGTCAGAAAACAACAATATAGCGAACGAAAGCCTGACCTAGGATTCCTAGGCTAGGAAAGGCTACTCTCGGAAGAGAAAACTTGCACATTTTTTGGTGAAAAAAATGACGAAAAATTGCGATTCCAATTGGACCGAATGGAAAAGGGAACGGGAAATCCTCACAAAAAGAGACATGTTGCTAGAGTACCTTGGCCTCAGCAAAATCCGTATTTTTTCCTAGCATTTTAGAGCTGCGATAGAGAGGATAAGCAGCACCAAGCACGTTAGAAATAGGGGATACCACAACTCCAGAGACGAGGCAGATTACGGAGAGGACGTATGCTGATGCTAATAGTAGTACTGAAATCTGAGGAAAAACAAATAATCAAACACAGAAACTCTACGCGAGTGCATCCTGTGGGCTCCCTCCTGTTAGGGACAATTCTGTATCGGATCGGATTTGTCGACATACTATATGGTTGCTATTACTACGGGAAGTTTCGTCAACTACGACGGCTGCGATAGAATTCGCAGTGTGATGCGGCGTTTCTAGTGAGATTCCCGATCTCCCAGAAGGTTGTTATTTTTTTGAAAGTATTCATCCTTTTCGAGAGATCTGAAATTTTTCGGACCATTACATTCTCCCGAACGGAATATATATTTTTCGGGAAAATTGTCAGAAGATATTCCTTGGAGTCGGAATTATTCGAAACAGTTTCGTTTGAATCGAACTCATTCCAGTCAACGTGATTCAATTATCGGAAAATCATTCAAAAAACGAAAAGAAAAAGAAATAGAGGATAACCTCTCGAAAGCGGGGCGTCGATTAATCCTCAATGAGAATAGAATTATAAGTCTGACTGAACCGGCGACACTGACACACAGAGAATATATTCCCGAACTCATTTTGAATTTTCCACGGATGGCTAGGAACACATTCTTCAATCAGCCTCACATGTAAATGTCATCATCGCATTAGGAGTATTGTTATCAAACCCTGGGAAAAGTTATTTCTCAAAGGTTGCTGGTAATAAGTCGAATCCCTCACCTCCCTATTACTGGTGTCAGGCGTAACCGTTCCGCGGCTGCCGACAATGTGGGATTGAGGGCGGCCAAGAAGTCGTTTAAACTGCCAATATGATGCTCTACCTGTGCCTCCCAGTTGGAGAGATATTCGAATAGCCTTCCCTGCATTGCTGGGTTGAATATGGCATCAACTGAACTCGATAAAGGAGAAGTTATGAATTCACCACGTCTTGTGAAATACAACAGGGCGGATCACAAAGACGATATCATTGTAAACCTCCCGACAGGGAAATAGGACCTCCACAGTAGAGCTAGAGGGTTGTGAATAGAATAGACCCAGCCGTTGTATGTGACTTCAACTTAGGCTTATAATTTCAGCCAAAAGGAGCAAGATGGCATCTTGCTCACTTACAACATGACATGACAAATCTTGTGTGAATTTTGCGCAGCGTGTCTCCACTTCTGTACTAAACCACTTTTGTACTAAACGATGATAGGTGAGCGATTTATGCCGGATCAGGACTTTTTCGCACGCAAACGATTGAGTTTTGTAGTGGGTAAAATGTCCACTGTTGTACCAAATTCTGCACGTTTTTACTCACTTTATTTTTTCCGATAAAGAAACTTTTGACACCGGGTAAAACTTTACTTTCACTTCTGTACTAAATTCTTGGGATGCTTTCGCACGGGTTAGATTTTACGACTTGGGTTTTTTTCACACGTCTTAAAACGACCTGCCTTCCGCTACTGTGAGTGAAGCCCTCACCGCGAGGGGGAGTAAAGGACAGTCCTGCGTCTACCGAAGAGTATACATGTCGCAATTTAACAAGTCTCAACGTATAACCTCATTCCTTGTAGTCTACAAGTGTAGACTATGTCGTAATTATTACGGGCCGTTGTGCACTCCAGCGCAGTGTACGGAGACTCATGAAACATTATACGGCTTCGCGGTGTTTATATTTGACTGTATTGCTGTGTTATTACTGTTATTGTATTGTGCGCCGTGACACCGGTGGCGTCACGTATTCCTGCATGCGTGCTGAGGCCTTGCTCGAGCACTTGCCTAGTGCTCTTAAAGGTTAGACCAAGGACAGGAGTGAGTTAAGCTTCTGATTCTTACTGGCCTGGGACTTAGGCTACAGCTTAAGTTAGTACACTGCGTTGAGATTTACCAGCCGCTAGTGATTATACTTCGTATGTTAAGTAACGTAGTCAAAGGTATGGTTTCGGAAATCATCAATAGATTAGGCATTATGTTCACTAGTAACTGTGGTTTTGATACATAGCGGCAAGAGTTCTGATAAGGGTGCAGACATAGCTAGTTGGGTGATCAATGAACGCTTATCATCGTCGTCCGATATTAAGGAATTATTTGAGGAATATTTAATTGACAACTACACTCTTAGAACTCTCATAAAAGCTTTAAACTCAGGTATTGAATTCCCCTTCAGGTGAGAATAA